CACAAAGAGAAAGGAAAAATTTAAATCGCATCATATGACCCCTTTAAGTGTAATATTGTTTTATGTGCAGTGAGGCCCAAAGGTCTGGGACAACATTGTAAATCTTGGAGTAAAAAATAATTTTAAAGGAAATAAACAATGTATTGGGTTTTAATTGTAAGGGTAATAATGAGAATTTTTGACATTGACCATATTAACTCTTTTGTACAGGTCAATTTATTTTACAATTTAATGTTTTACACAAATTGTTACACTGATAATATGATTTGTAATAAAAAAGGTAAAAAAACGTTTCTTTTACATTTTACTATATATATATATATATATATATATATATATATATTACAACAGAAAACTGGAATTTTAAATTGCAATAATATTTCACAATATTACTGTTTTTATATTATATATAAAATGTGTGTATGTTTGCGTTAAGTGTATGTTTTCTTACACAGTGAGGCCCAAAAGTCTGAGACCACACTGAAGATCTGGGAGCAAAAAGACATTTTAAAATAAATAAACAATAAAATAAATTCAAGGTTAATAATAAAATATTTGTTATATGTTATACATTTATTTTTTGAAAGCATTTTATTTACACCTTTTTGTAAATATGTACATTATTAAATATATTTCTATTTATATAAATAAAAATGCTGATAGTACAGAATAGAAGCTTTTTTACTACCGTTCCTTCCCTTTGCTTGATTATTTATATGTGTGCTTATGTCAGAACTTTAATGTCACAATTCGCTGGAGCACGGGCAAGAGGAAACGAGGAGACATGGAGATTTCACAGAACGAGAGTCTTTTAATGATCCAAATGGGAGACACAGAGCACAAAGATGACGTTCACAACAAGACCTGACAAGGAAACATGAGGCAGACTACACATTTATACTAAACTTAACGAGGGACAGACAGGTGCGGGGAATCAACTAATAATGAGACAACGAGAACAGGAACATGACCAAATAAGGGAACACAGAAACAGAAACGGGCAAAACAGGTCCATAATCCTGACATATCGTCAGGAATGGGTGGGAACTAAGGAGGCGGCTCGGGAGAAGGATGGACACCCGGGAGGGGGCCGGCAGACAGAAACCAGGGAGGCGACGAATGAGGGAGGAGCCAGGGAGGAGACAGGAGGGGCCCCAAGCAGGAGGAGCACAGCAGGACCCAGGCCACAGCCATAACGGCGGCCAACGATGGAGCCGACGGAGGGAGGAGCCATGGAGGAAGAATGGCCGCTAAACTCCAGGGGGCTGACCAACGGCGGCGGAGCAGGTGGTGGAGGAGCCCGAGGTGAAAACGGAGAGCTGATGAGCCAGG